GCAGCCCGCCGTCCGGCGCCGCTGGCCGCCGCCCCTCGGGTCGCCATGGTGATTCTTAACACGCGGCGTCGGGGTTGCGTTGACACCTGTACAGCCAGGTGACTGTGACCTTGGTGAACAGTGTGCCATCGCTGCGGAACTCACGAGTCAGAAACGCGGTCAGCTCGCCTCCTCGGCGCTGCCACTGGCCACGTCAATCACCGCGGTCAGAACTGGGGGTCCCTAAGCTCCGCCCGGACCTTTCCTTGGGCCCCAGAACAGGCGTCGGCCCCGCGGAAGGGTCAGCGCTCCGGGCCAGGTGACCTCTCCTGTTGGGGGCACTCGGGACGGCTCGTTGCTTCCCCTATCAAGATAAATAAGATAAATAAGCCAGTCTCAGACACGGGAAGGCGTTATTTTGGGGTGTCATCCAGCAGCAAAACGAGGAACATGACATTCTGCTGTTCCCGAGGGAAGACGCTAGAGGGCGCGCTGCACCCCGTTTTGGTCCTCAGGCTTCAGGGTTCTAGGCCCAAGGCAAGCACTGCGCTAACCCAGCGAATTTTGGGAGCCGGAGGCGCACCCCACACCCTAAACAGCCCCCAGCGCCCCCACCCTAGACAGCCCCCAGGGCCACACCCTAGAAGGCCCCCAGAACCCCACACCCTAGAAGGCCCCCAGAACCCCACACCCAGACAGGCCCCAGCTGGCGGGGCGGCCAGTGCCAATCCCCCTTTTAGGGGCGCGGGCGCCTCTCAGCGGGGAGGTGGGGGCGAGAGCTTGGCGTGGCGCTGGCCGGGCACCGCGTTTCTGCCTCCAGTGTGTTTCGGAGCAGCTGCCCGCCGAGGTCCCCGTGGCTGGTTACATGTGACGGTGACACACACGGACACACACGACTGAGTCCTGCTAGAGCTGCAAATTCGCGGTCCGCTCGTGCTTCGGACCTGCGTGTCCCGGCCCTCGGCCGTCCGGCTCGTGCTCGAGGCTGAGGGGAGCCCGCGGTGTGGGGCACAGCCCAGGGGCTCTCTTGTTGGAAATGCCATTGCCCCCACGTGTCTGGAAAGGCCACTGCCACCAGCCTCGTTCTCCTACGCTGAGAATCACTCGCACAGCGCAGCGGCAGCTTGCGGGGTGACCCCCTGAGGGGCCAGGGTCGGCACCCCGCGAGGTGCCAGCTTACTGCTGCTGGGCTCCGGGCTGCACTTCAGCTTTCTGGGCGAGTGAGGATTCTCTAAGGACAAACGGACATTATACGAACAGGTACTTTGCGACTGACTTGCTGATTGAGGACAAAGCCTTTGCATTCTTTATCCAGAAACTCCATTTGTCTTTAACACGCGCAGCTCGTGTCTTCTTCACTAGCCTTATTTTTAGTGCAGGGTTTGGGGCCCTCCCTGGTGGCGTGATGGGGTAAAGCGCAGCACTATGAAGCTGTCCGGAGCCACTGAACATGAGTTCGATCCGCGGTGGGGGGACCCCAGGGCGCAGCAGACCCCTCCTGCTCCCCGCTGCCCCCTCAGCAGGGGACTTCAGTGGCTCTGCCTGTTCTGCTCCCCACTCTGTCTCTGGGGGTCCTCTCACCCCGTGCCTCTGGCCTGCACCCAGTTCTTGTGTGCATACATAAGTAAATCTTAAAAAAAAAAAAAGCATGTTCTGTCGGCCTGACTCAGCCCACGGCGTGGCTCAGCCTGGAGGCCTCTGCGCTTGCCCGAGCTTCAGCTGACCTGCGTGGGGCTGTCCACCCGCCAGGGCAGCAGCGGCGAGGGACGGGCGCCCTGGCGCAGGCTGGGTGAAGACAGCCGCCGCCCAGGGCCCCAGGACCTGCCAGCGCGGGCGCGAGGCCTCATCCGCTCGCCCTGCGGGGCTGGTAGTCTGGGGCGCTCTCTGCTTGAGCACCGCAGGGCCTGTGCGCATCAGGCCCGCCCCAGCGCGACAGCTTCGCCCTCCTGGGCGGGGAGACGGGCGGGGCGGGGTCAGGACGGGGCGGCGTCAGGACCGGGCGGCGCACGGGGGGCCAGGAGCGAGGCCCCTGCCGGCGTCCCAGCCCCAGGAATCCCGGTCCCCAAGGC